CCCCAAAACCCCAAAACCCCAAAACCCCAAAACCCCAATTATATTATTCCTTATAGAAAATTTAGAATAAAATAATATGACAGTAGTATTTTTCCAAGCGAGTCCAAGTTGTATTAAAGGAATCTTAAAATAATAATAGGCAGCAACAAGGTTGCTAAAAATTAAGAAGTAGTGTTGATATTTTAAATTATGGAGCAGGCATCTCAGGCTTCTCACCCCCAAGTCTACTCCCTAAGCTCTTCAGTATGAAGTTATTGCTTTGAGAAGTCTTAGTGGGGCTTTCTATGTTCCCTTTGGATACCCTCTTAGGTTTCTTTTTCATAACTGGGGTAGAAATCATTGGAACTGCAACTTCTCCAAATCCAGAATCTTTAACAGATTGCATAAAAGGAGTAACAACAGAAGTACCTCCTATAGTGGTAGACTTTTCATTATTGTTCTTAGAGGTTTTTGCTTGCTTTTTAGCATTTTCCAGAATATTTTCAGTAAATTTTCTGGGCTTTTCAAAAATTCCAATAGGTGTTGACTGATCTGACATTTTCAAGTTGTCTGAGTTCTTCCGTAGTGAAGTTTTCTTGGAAGATTTGCTTCAGGGGTCAGAATCCTTTTTCTTTCACCTCTTGCTACTTTGGATGAAATGAAGATTGCCTGATATATTTAAACTGCTTCCAGTAAACTCCTCTTCATCCTCAGCCTGCTCTTTGATAGTACTGCGTTTGTCATCCATGAGCCGGGAAAGATTATCACTGATTCCGAAATGCTTAGGACTTTTGCTCGGTGAACCTACTGCTCCATCCTCACTATCATCATTCAGCCGCTTAGAGACACTATTCTTATGATGCCTATACAGTCTCTTTATGTTAATAATATTATCAGGAGAGACTCCTAAGTCAGTGTCTGAGGAATATTCTTCTTTTTCTCGTTGAGCGACTAGCTTCTCAAGTGTAAGATCTTCAGTGTGCTTCCTCATCTCTCTGTTAACTCTTCTCTGGACTAACTCCTCAGCCTTCATCTTCAAATTCTGAGCGTTGTAGTTCCTAGTCAGAGTCATCTGTTTTTGAAGAGTGCTATGTCATGTTAGAATATGAGTTTTTGGATAAATAAAGTTGTTACCTTATATTTCGAGGATTAGATGATTGAGTCGCAGATTTTGAACTAGGCGATGAACTCTTAGAAGCGTTCTTTCTACTTCAGTGATGATGTTTCCCACTATGGTGTTTGTGGTGATGATGATTCCTGTGTTTACTATGTTTACTGTGCTTGCTATGCTTGCTGTGTTTACTGTGCTTGCTGTGTTTACTGTGCTTGCTGTATTTAGAATGCTTGCTGCACTTGCTCTTAGTATCATCGCTAACTTCTTTGTTAGATTTTTTCTTTCAATCTTTCTTATGTCTTCTCCTAGGCTTGGTAAAACTTTTGCTCCTTTGTCCTATCTTCTTTCTCGTTGCAATATTGCTAAACTTCCTTTTCTCTATAGGTATCGCACTTTTGAAAGTCTTCTCTGAATCTTTTCTATTAGACGATGAATCATTAATTTTCTTAATTAGGGGACTGTAATTAGTTTGTTGCTGATGGTCATTTGTAGATGATCGTTTAGACACAGATTTCTCAGTCTTTGCTCTGGGATTTGATCCCTTTCCTTCATTAATAGAGTTGTTTCTTAAATCGGATAGGCTAGTCAAATTCTCTTGTTTATCAGAAGACTTATTTTGGCTAAGGGAATTATTACTTGCACTTCTGGACTTTTTCATCATATTTTGTATAACATGAGGATCAGCACTAGCAGTGGAGTTTTTACTAGTTTTCTTTTCCTCTTCATGCTTATCAGGAGCTCAGTCATTATCAACGAAATCCTTCATAGCTTTGAGAAGTTTTTGATTCCTACGACTTTTGAGGCTTCTATTTATGATTTAAGTCAGTAATAATAGGTTTACGAGAGTTAAGAGGTTCAACCTCTCGATCTTTTTCGAATAGTTTATCCTGATTTTTAATAGGGTCCATGTGCTTGTCAAATACCTGGTTTTTTATTTTCCTTCTTCGATGAGGATTCTTCTGTGTGTTTCATCAAAAGAGAGCACTGATAAAGCGACCCCAAAACTTAATTGGTACCTTTTCTTCAGTGGCTATATTATAATTCTCAATGAATATTTTTGGGAAACCTCTTGAATAATACAATGTAATTTTATACGAGAAATCTTAGAACGTAAGTTTACAGTAATATTGAGGGGTTAGGATCGGTATCAGGCCACTTTCACCTTGTTTGGTGGTATCTGAGAGTGGCTTAGGCTTATAATCCTGAATCTCCTTCCTGCTTTCATCCATTTTATTATAAAATAATAGTAATCTATTTTCAATTCATTGAGTAGCCTCTGGGGTTTTGGGGTTTTGGGGTTTTGGGGTTTTGGGG